AGATTTACAGTTTAAATTGTCCAATGATGAGGCTGTAGCTCTGTTCAAAGACCTACGATTAAATGTTGCGTTGCAAGGTCTCAAATGTATGCCTTCTGCAACGAATGAGGAGAATGAGGTTGGCAGTATTGTTGGGATGGGTATGTTACAGATTCAGATTCTGTTTATGAGTATGAAAGATTAATTGAAGAGGAGTTGGCTGATGACTTGGGGTTTACCCAACAGGTCTGTTCTAATGAGCTTCAACCTTGGCTGAAGGATGACTCTAACATATCAGTGGTGGAACCCCTGGCAGTGGTGAGACCTAATGATGAGGTATGTTACAGATTCAGATTCTGTTTATGAGTATGACTGAATAATTGAAGAGGAGTTGGCTGATGACTTGGGGTTTACCCAACAGGTCTGTTCTAATGAGCTTCAACCCTGGCTGAAGGATGACTCTAACATATCAGTGGTGGAACCCCTGGCAGTGGTGAGACCTAATGATGAGGTTACTGATTTGGGGAGGGATTGGGTGGTTGATAACATTGGAGCTACCAGTGAGTTGTTGAGAGTATCTTCAGAAGGTAATAACACTCAGACTTTATCTCTTCTTCAAGCAATTGTGACTGGAACTGAGATAGCAGTCACTAATGAAGTTATAAACACAAAGCCCATATCATCTTGGAAAGGGATTCACGAGATTAAGAATCTCATCTCTGACGTCAACTACGATAAGAAGAAAGGCGTGGTGATGGAAAGGGGCAGGACTAGGAGCAGGAGTTTAAAGAAGGGGGGAGGGGAGTTAATCTCAACTGGTTTTTAATGAAGCTACGAATCATTACATGGAATGTTCGTGGTCTCAATGACCCGAATAATAGGAGAGTGGTGAAGGTAGCCTTAAGGAAATGGGGGCCCCAAGTTGTTTGTTTGCAAGAAACCAAGATGGCATCCATTACTGACGGGGTGGTTAGAAGTTTGTGGGGAGGAAGGTTTGTGGGATGGGAGGCTTTGGACGCTATAGGTTCTTCGGGTGGTATTTTAGTTACGTGGAACAGTAGGTGGTTGTCCAGAATGAATGTGTGGAAGGAGAGATTTTCTGTTTCCTGTGAGTTTCAGATGGAAGAGGATAATTTCAGATGGGTTTTTTCTAGGGTCTATAGACCAGTCGTTGATACTGACAGACCCATTTTATGGGAGGAACTAAGTCACATTCAAGGTCCATGCTCTTTACCTTGGTGTTTGGGTGGGGATTTCAATTCAGTCAGGTTCCCGTCAGAGAGGTCTACTGGGAGAAGAAGGTCTATAGACATGGATCAGTTTTCTAACTTCATTGATGAGCACCTTCTCATTGATCTACCAATGGAAGGTGCAACCTATACTTGGTCTAGTGGTAGAGACCCAATTACTCTCTCAAGATTGGATAGATTTTTGATCTCTGGGGAGTGGGAAGAAAAATTCCCGGATGTTGTTCAGGCGGTATTAGAAAGGGTTACCTCTGATCATGTTCCTTTAGTTTTGGATTGTGGGGGTTTGTGTTCTCGAAAAACCCCATCCCGTTTTGAGAATATGTGGCTGAGAGTGGAGGACTTCCAAGGGACAATTCGTTCATGGTGGGAGGGAGCGATCGTTACAGGTGCGCCCAGCTTCATATTAACACAGAAATTAAGAGCTCTCAAACTCTCTCTTAAGCAGTGGAATAAGGATGTTTTTGGGAACCTTGAATGGATGAAGAACAGAGTCGTTGCTGATTTTTCTGAGATTGATCGGCTAGAGGAGGCAGTTGGGAATATGGAGTCTCTTTGTACTAGGAGAGCTTCCTGTCAGGCAGTTCTTGCTGAGATTGCTTGTATGGAGGAGATTTCATGGCGACAAAAATCCCGGTCTCTTTGGCTGAAAGAGGGAGACCGTAACACAAAATTTTTCCACAGACTTGCTAATGCCCATAGGAGGAGTAATCACATAGGACGTATACGGGTAGAAGGCGTGGAGTTGTGGAGGGAGGAAGAGGTGCGTAGCGGGATCGTTTCTTTTTATCAAAAGCATTATACAGAACCTTTAGGTTTGCGACCCAAGCTTGATGGTCTTCCTTTTGAGGCTATTTCCGAGATGGAGAGAGATGGGCTAGAGCTTCCTTTTACTGAAGAAGAAGTTCTAAAGGCCTTATCCAGTTGCAATGGGGATAAAGCCCCGGGGCCTGACGGGTTTACTATGTGTTTTTTGAAGGAAAGTTGGGCGGTTGTGAGAAATGAAGTGATGAGTACCTTTCAGGAGTTTCATTCTACGAGTGTATTTGAGAAATCGCTTAATGCATCATTTATTGCCCTCATCCCTAAGAAGGGAAACGCTTCAGATATTAAGGATTTTCGTCCTATTAGCTTAGTGGGTTGTATTTACAAACTCATAGCTAAGGTGCTTGCTCAAAGAATGTGAGAAGTTATGGATGGGATTATTTCAGATTCCCAGAATGCCTTTGTTGGAGGAAGGTAAATTCTTGATTCAGTTCTTATCACCGGTGATTGTGTGGATTCAAGGTTACGTAATGGTGTTCCTGGAGTTTTGTCACTTCTGTGTAAACTTGATATTAAGAAAGCTTATGATCATGTAAATTGGAATTTCTTTCTCTATTTGCTTCAAAGAATGGGGTTTGGAAGTAGATGGAGGACATGGATTCAAACATGTCTTTCGTCTGTTAAGTTCTCAATTCTTGTGAATGGTTCTCCAGCCGGCTTTTTTGGGTGCTCTCGGGGTATAAGACAAGGTGATCCATTGTCATCTTTTCTTTTTCTTATTGTTATGGAGGTCTTAAGCAGACTTATGCGCCGGGCAGAGAATCTAGGTCTCATCAAGGGATTTTGGGTGGGAAGAGATATTGCAAATCAGGTGGAGATTTCTCATCTGTTATTTGCAAATGACACTCTGGTTTTCTGTGATGCAGATGTGTCTCAATTTAGATATTTGAGATGCATTCTGGCTTGCTTTCAGGCAGTTTCCGGGCTAAAGGTTAACGTGGCCAAGAGTGTGCTTGTTCCGGTTAGGAATGTACAGGACATCTCTTCTCTAGCTATAGTTCTTGGGTGTAGGGTGAGTTCCTTTCCTATCCCTTACTTGGGATTGCCTCTAGGGGTTTCTTCCAGATTAGTGGGGAGCTAGGATTCTGTGATTGATAGGTATGCAAAGAGGTTGGAAGGTTGGAAGAAGCAATATTTGTCAAAGGGGGGTAAAGTTACTCTTATCAAGAGCACTTTATCAAGCCTTCCCCCTTATTTTCTTTCTATGTTCCAAATTCCATGCTCCGTTGCTGATAGAATTGAACAAATTCAAAGGAATTCCCTTTGGGGAGGAAGGGGAGAATAGTTCAAGTATCACCTTGTTAGATGGGCGCAAGTCTGCAAGCCTATAAAACTAGGGGGTCTCAGTATTAGACGATTGATTCCTTTTAATCAAGCTCTTTTGGGCAAATGGCTGTGGAGATACGGGAAGGAAAGACAACGCCCTTGGCGTAGATTAGTTTCCTGCAGGTATAGGGATGATGTTGGCGGATAGAGTACACGTCTGGTTTCTATTGCGGGAGGAGTTGGGGCTTGGAAATCCATTTAGAAAGGATGGGATGCCTTTTCTCCTTATGTTAGATTTAGAGTTCGTGCTGGTAGTCGCGTTCATTTTTGGGAAGATCTTTGGTGTGGGAATCAGCCTTTATGTCGTACTTTCCCCAGATTATATAGTATTGCAGTTGATAGACATGCCATTGTAGCTAACTGTTATCAGCTTGATAATAGTGGAATTACGTGGAATGTTCTTTTTCGGCGCTCTTTTCAGGATTGGGAGTTAGAAGATGTGAGCATTTTCTTGGATCAATTGTATCGGCAAGAAGGAAGGGGTTATGACAATTTGATTTGGATTCCCTCTTCTCACGGTCATTTTGAAGTAAGGTCTTTGTTCTTATGTTTGTCTAATTTTGCACCCTATGATTTTCCATGGAAGACTATATGGCGCTCTATGGCTCCTACTAGGGTGGCTTTTTTTGTATGGACCACCGTTTGGGGTAAGATTCTGACGATCGATAATTTGAGGAAAAGGGCAAATTATTTTGTTAATTGGTGTTGCATGTGTAAGTAGAATGGGGAGTCAGTCGATCATCTCCAAATGCATTGTTCTTTAGCGCACGACGGCTAGAATCTTATTCTTAGGCTATTTGGCATGTATTGGGTAATGCCACATTCTACTAAGGAGCTGATTCATGCTTGGAGAGGTCGTCATGTGAGTAGGAGTATTCGTGATTATTGGAGATCTGTACCACATTGTATTTGGTGGAGCATTTGGAAGGAGAGAAATAGTAGAATGTTTGAAGGAAAGGAGTCGTTTACAGCGACACTGAAACTTTTTATTATTCGTTCTCTCTTCAGTTATGTGAACTGAAGTTCTTGATCCTCTTCTAATGATTTAATTTCTTTTTTGGATTCTTTGGGGCTTTAGTTCCCGATTTCTCTTATGTCTACGGGACGCGTTCCCCTACTGAACGCCTTTTTTAATTTATTATTACTTATCAAAAAAAAAAAAAGTTATACCTTCTCTAACAGCTTAAGCTTTTGGAGTAGATGGTAGTTAACAGTGATTTCAATAGCAAACCAATCAACATAGAAAGAACCAATTCAGATAGAGTTTACAGTCACCACCAAATAAATCAACCAAGAAACTGCAATCTTTCCAGATTTCAAAAGAACGGATTCAAAGAGACATCATACCCACAGATAAATGTGAAGAATCATGTGTCATAATCTGTAGATATTTCCTTTGTTACTTTACCTAATTTAAGTTGAAGTTTTAGAAATGACAAATAAGGTAAGTAAAATATTTATCATTGTTTTTAAAGACAATAGAAAATAATTCATTTTTCTTTTTTTTGGTTTTTCGGCATGGAGTCAAACAAGATTCATGGCGGGTAGGAATATATGAATTAAGAAATGAGTATTGTACAACTTTCAAAGAAAGTAGGAAAAGCATAAGCAAATTGAGTGAACCTGCTGAGAAGTATATAGGAACCTTAATATTCATGCGCTCCCAATAATCATCCAAGAGCATACAGAGTTCCTGATCGATCATTAATAGAATTGTCAAAACACTAATGACTCTCAAAAGTAATAGAAATCAATAAAGATTCTCAATAAGATAAGACATCCTAAAACATTTGACATGTATACTTGACATATTATGCATGGCATACAAAAAAAAAGGTTTGGATTTAATTCTTTTTTTTTTTTTTTTTTAATGAAATTGAGCTTAAAATCTCTCACGAGAAGAGGTCTTACTTCCCGAGTAATTGTTCACTGTCACAATAAGGCACCAAGGATGAGTAAAAGACCCCAATACATTTTTTTTTTTTTTTTTCATTTTTTTTGTCGATGGTGGTGTCGGGCCTCTTAGAGTGCACCATAATCCACCACCGGGTACATCCAGTTCCCCCATTCCACATGCACTGGACAATTATCAGAAAATTCACTGAGGGTGACCCCAAGGAATTCGAACTTCCAACCTCCAAGATGTGAGGTGAGAGCCTTACCATTAGTACAATTATTAAAGAGATCAAATTCCTCTACGATTTTAGAACTTTCCAGCCCAACAGGCAGTCTCACCAAATAAATGGTCTGTAAGATTTATCACTGATAAAACTAATCCAAGTCCTTGTTGAATCAATCTAAGGGTGGCCAGATGCATTTTTAGATATTTGTCTCCATATAAAGCAATCCTTATACAAATGTGGAACTGGACAGACATTTCTCACATCTCGAATTGCCTTTCAATCTGCTAGACAGACATTTCTCACATCTCGAATTCCCTTTCAATCTGCTCAACAGTAGCTAAGTCGCTGACCTACACGCACACACTATAAGCATCTGAATCAACTGCCCTCTGTTACATCACTTATTCAAGACTGCCCCCAAGTAACTTTGTTAGGAGTAATTTCGTTTCCTGACCCAGAAAATTACTCATCTTCATAAACTCAAACATTCAAGATACATGAGTTTATCACTTGAACTACTGTATAACATGTATGGACCTTATTTTGTGCCATGGCTTATGAAAAAAAAAAAAAAAACCTTTTTTTGTGCGACAATTCAGCTAGATCTTACTCTAAAGTTCCAAATGTGATATTTTGTTTGAGTCCAAGTGATGGAAGATGAAAGACATGGCAGGATTTTCCATCATCAATTCAGCAAAAGAGCATCCTGATGAATAACGTAAGATGCATTCTTGACCCGTAGATTGAAAGCGAGGAACTTGCGAACTCCCAGTTAATGAACAAATATACAAATGTGGAAGAAAAAAATCCTTTCAAGTCCTAAATTAAGAAAGAAGTATCTGAAACACATCACATTCAAGTTGAGCAACACAAATCAATAAAGAATAACAAGAAAACATCCAAAACAACTGATGTGATGGCATCTTAAGTTCTGGTACTAATACCTCAGAAGGCCCGTACGGGATTTATTTGGGGGACAAGGCTTGTTTTCCCATAATAGGAATGGTGTTCATTCAATCCAGTGGTGAATGCTAGCAGCCAAGAGAAAAGGTCGATATGGATAGTTAGAGACCCATATAGGGATTCAATTTGGAAAAGAAGTCCTAGTATAGGTTCTGTTAGGCATAAATATATATATATATATATAGGTGTACCTGAGGTTTTGGGAGAGAGAATTCAAGAGAGCTTGAGAATATTCATCTTAAAAGTTGAAAGAATTAGCTTTTTGAGACTTGCGCAGCCATTTTATAAATTATTTCTTTCCATAGTGAAATTCCTCATTGTCTTCATCCATAATAAACATAGGCGTCAATTCAAACTGCAAATGCCTTGTGATTCCATTCGTGTGATTGATTCTTAAGATGTTTTTACACTTGTCCGATTGACCTTTCACAGGCCTTCAAACTTTTTGTGCAATTCCTGTTTCCTCAGAAGATGACCAGATCCTGTGGAGACAAGGAATTTTTAGCTTCAAATCTTTTGGAAGTATGGCAGACATTATAACCCCAAAAAGGATTGGTCCAGATTGTTTTGGAATGGAGGGAGACCGCTGCATGTATTATTTCTTGCCTTATTTTATTGGACAAAATACCCTCATAAACTAACCTTCAGAAAAGAGGCATAATTTTAACATCTATATGCCACAACTGTATGCAAGCTGCAGATATTATGGATCACATAATCTTTGCATGTAACAATCCCCGGGTGATTTGGAAATGGCTCAGTGAAATTCTACACTGGGATTGGACCATGTCAACTCCTTCCATCAAGTGGTCCAGTGGTTTACATTTTTTTTTTTTTTATAAATGTGGTCCAGTGGTTTACTTCTCAGTTTATTAACAATATTCAAAGACATGAGTTCTGCAGACAAATATTTACTATCACTTTGTGGAATATTTGGGGAGCCAGGAACCACAACCTTTACTGTGGCACTTCTCCAGGTCCAACTCAAACTGCCAGAATGATCTTTTAGGAGGTATGTGATCTAGGAAGCATGGACACACCTAAAGGGCAAAGAATCTATGTCGGATGCCGACCCATGCATGTCTCAGAATTTTTTTAATATTCAGATACAGGAATGACCTCTGTTAGCCTAGTATTGTTCTGGTTTTTTGTCAAAAATTGTTTACTTAGGAAAAAATAAATAAAAAATCTTTTTGTGCTTGTTTGATTCAGCTTGCACCTTTCATGAACCTGCTCAAAATGTTCTTCTAAGCATTCCTAATCACATGATATGCATATAGAACTTCAGAAGGTGACAAAAAGTCATATGACTATACCCCTAAAGTAATAATTCTCTATCCCATCTCCGATATGTAATATCCCCTCTGTGTTGTGTTTCTGCAATTTTCCTCTATTATGTTTCTGCAACTACCAATGTCTCTCACTAATTGACGCTAACCTCCCAACTGGCAATGGATGACCAAAATCCAATGACAACATTGACAACTCCACCCGACTGAGAAAGGATGTCCCAAAGCAATGGAAACATCAAGTAAATCTAAAATGCTTAAGGGCTTCCCAAGTGTCTTTAATAATGAGGGTTTCCAAATTGTGTTTGATAATGAAGGCGTCGTAATACCTTGTATTTCCTTGCATCTCTGTTTCCTTGAACTGGTCACCTAAAATCGACAATGAAAACAACCCTTAAAATGAGAGGTGGACCCTAAGAAGCACAGAAACGGATATGGGGCACGAATATGACACGACACAGATACGGCGACACGGCAAATCCGGAAAAATTAGGACATGGACACAGCAAATAATAAATATATATATTATATATATGATGTTGTACTTTAAGAAATTAAGAGTAATACTAGTTTTTACAACCTCATAATGAAAAAAAACTGTGCTTTGCTGGGGAAAAGAAAGAATGATTGAAAGAAGGTTAAGAAAGAGAGAAAAAAAAAAAAAACAAAGAGGATTAGGGTTTTGTTAGAAAAATAATAAGGCCTTAGCTAAAAAAATAAAGGTAAGAATCCACATAAGAGAAAAAAGTTCATGAGGAATAGAGGAAAAAGGAAAAAGAAATTTATTGTGAAAGGAAAAAAAGAAGTATCTAGGATTTGTGTCGAACAAGAAGAAGAAAGAAAGGAGGAGGACGAAGAAGAAGAGAGATAAGAGAGGAGAGATATATAGAGAGACCATCCACCGGTAGCGAAGCTTGGTTGGTGGGAGAACAAGAGAGTCAAAGATGATCGTGCAAGAGTTCGAACCTTGAACTAAAATATAAGGATAAATGTCTAATTATTTTAATATAAAATTGTTTTATAAAACAAAAACTATTAAGTCATTACCATCATATTGCTGAAAGTTATTAAACTCCTAATATTTATACTTCAACTCACATTGTTTCTTAAACTTTCTTAAAAATCCCCCAAGAATGGGACTCGTGTGTCGGACACATATTTATGGCATGTCGGACGAGTGTCCAAGGCGTGTCCGGATATTCAAGAAAATATAATAAATTCGGACACGTTTTTTGACATGTCCGACACGGATTCTTTCCCCTTTTAGGCGTATCCGTGCTTCCTTGGGGGGACCTATTAAGGGAAATCCCCCCCCCCTCCCCCCCCCCCCCCCCCAAAAAAAAAAAAAACAATGGCCTTCCTACATATCGAGGCTTGAAAACATAAAATAAAAAATAAACATGTGAGACCCTAAAATTTTGTAAACCCCTAATATTGTGGCCTCTCTATAAAAAAATGTGAGTTTGAAAAGATTCAAAAATTTAGCATGTGTCCTTTCCAATAAAACCTTAAGTTGAACTCTTTTAGACTTTACTTTTGGAAGGCCACACTTGGAAGGAAAGGTCTAGAAAACACAAATATTAACTTAAGCAGTTAAGAAATACTTTTAATTTATAGATAATCTTCTTTTATATAATAAGTATATACTAAGACACCAATCATAAAAAATAAAAATAAAAAAAATTATAATGAAAGGCCACTTAGGGGTGAAGGGGGTTTACCTTCAACCAGAGAGCTTTAATTTTCTTACATAACTAGTTTGGCCCCAAAAATAAAAATTCCTGGGTCCACCCCTGCTTACGACCACTATCGCCATGAATTCTGGATCCTGGACTAAATTTTGACATGGGTTTTTGTCATATTAGAAATGGATTATAAGTCATTAAGACTGTATATGAAATGCTAGATGTAGACTACTGACTGTAAAACCCTTCACAATAGCAGAGACTGCATATCGAGCCTCAAACAACTACCTTTTCTGTCCCACAATTAGCACAGGTAAGGACCATAATTAAGGTAGCAAGAAATTTCATTTAGAAGGCATGCCATAGAATCAAATTTCCAGATTCTGATTAATTAAATCCTACAAAGTAAATTACAAGGAATAAGTTAATGAGGATACCTGAGCTCTTCCAAGAGCAAAAGTAGGAATAAGCACCTTTCCTCCACCAGCAATACATTTATGAACCTATAAGAATTGTTTTTAGAATAAATTAAAATTACTTTAAGAGGGTAATAAAAGGATATTCTTAGAATAGCATTTGGATGAGTCAAGAAAGAAATCACATGCGCAAATTACATAACACAAGAAATTTTGTACTGTACGTGCACATGGACACTCACATACATACCAAATGAAAATTCGTCACTGAAAGCAATTGAACATCCACCAAGAACAACAATGCATCAGATGAACTCACAAAAGCAGAGCTGGCCCTTATTCTAATTTCTAGGCAGATCACTGAATCAAATTGGTAACTTCTAACAGAAGAATGAGGGTGGGCAGAACAAATGCATGAAATGAAAGCCTTTGACTCTGGCCATAAGAACCAAGCAAAGCTCTCATCCTAATTGGTTGATGAACCCATGCCACAAAACATGGGTCATATTCACATACCATTAGAAAAACTACGTTAATAAATTTAAATCAACAACGAAGTTGTTGTTTACCCAAAGTGCAATTAATAGTTTTCCCATAATTTAGAAAGTCACAATCCTGAGAAAACTCGAAATATATGTTAACAACAGGGCTAATACTGCCAATTTCAAGATGAAACGTAGGCCAAAGAGACAAATTCAACAAATTATGCAACCTACAGTCCAAAAAAAGTAATATCTCAGATTCTCAGTGTTATTAAAGAATTAAAATTAAATTGTAAATGGACTAAAATTTACAATGTTACAAACTTCATGTCAATAATTGTTTCCAAATCTTGGTAACTATCAATAAATAATACAGGACCCATGCTAAATGACAGACACTAAGGCACTACTCTAGACAGAATGAAGTAAAATTAATAAAAATGGAAATTGACAACTAATATTATCAAAAGTGTTGAAAGATATAAAAGTTTGTTGGTCCCATCTTTGAATTAGGGTTTGCCCTTTTAAAATGTCAAAAATCTGTCACGGGTCCATTTCATTGAGCTTCAAGTGATTCTGGCATGCTCAGTGCATTATACTTCGTATTGATCTATAGGGGCAATATGGTCATTCAACATTCTCAAGAAGTCTTTTTAAATGGCCTAAGGAAGGTACATTGTGTTGACAGTACTCATTGCAGGCCAATTAGAGTTTCAGGCTCTAGTTCAAAAGATGATAATTGGCTACGGAGTCACTCAAGGGCAATTAAGTCTTTTCACACTTGTATTCTATCATTATACACTTGTTTGAGATAGTGCATTGTATTGAAATGCTAAAAATCGCTGTTTGATCAAGTTTCCATAGTTACAGCTGCAGAAAACTGTGTATATTGACAAGTGTCCCTTACAGAGGTATTTTGGTCTTTACAAATGAAGATCAAATATGTGACACGTGTCCCGTGATCCTAGTATAAGAAAATGAGGCTTGTTAAGCATTGCTTAATGGTTAAGCTTGTTACATATTGCTGTGTATATATATATATATATATGCAATCTGTCAAAAGGTAAGTTCACTAGAGGACAAATGTGCAAGGTGGCAGAGACATTGTGGTCATTTGCTCAAGGAGTATCGGGACATTCTCTAGCCAATGATTGGAGAATGATGCCATGTGGATTTCCTCTTTAGGGTAGGATTACAGATCAATGTACCCTATATATATCCTGTTATAGCCCTTCAGCCTCCTAAGCCTTGTTGAGCACCCCTCTGAGCATCCAAGTGAGCAATATTGACGTACACTCGAGACACCAAGAACAATGACCATTAACTGAGTTTTAAGACTAATTTGTAATCCATTTTAACTCAGTAATCCATATAGTGTGACTGTGCAATTGAAGATGAAGTTCAGGGCTGTGTATTGAGGGTTTTCTGTTGCAAAGGCCTGGTCCAGAGGTTGAATCCATGCTTGAGTCAAGTTCAGAGGTTTCCAGAGGTTGAGACAAGTTTGTTTTACCATTTTACAACTGTAAAACTACTGGTCTTGTTCATATTCTTGTTGTAGTTGAGTTTGATGTCTCAAACCTGCATTTATTACTAGTTTTTCTGGTTTAGCCTTCTGTCATGAGTATTTATGCATGTTATCTTGTTGTGAGTTGAACTCTTATCATTTGAGCAAGTTTCTATAGTTGATTCAAGGCTGTACAAGTTGATATTTACAGGGAGAAATGGTCACTTGGTGTTTTCGCCTTTAAAACCCTAGTTTTAGGGTTTTTGCAGTATTAGCCCTATTGAACTGAGACTTTAATATGCCTTGCTTGAATCATTGAGAATATCATCTGAGCAGGTGTATAATGTTGGTATAAGGTTGAGGGTGCCATTTTCAGGTCTGTGACAATACAAAATTCCAGATTTAACCTTCTATCACAATTTCAGCAGAATGAAGGTCTGAAGCTGTTGTTTAATAGTTTAAGCTGTTTAATCATTCTTATCTTGTGTAATAGCTTGAGTATAGTGAGAGCTCAAAGGGTCCAAGTAGGGTTGCTTAGTACAGGGGGAGTGCATGTGTGCATTGTTGTGCGCTAGGGTGTGTGTAGAGTGAGAGACGGCCGAGTGTGTATCTACTTGCATTACAGCTAGTGGAGCTTACATTAGCTATGGCCAGGAACCAAGGTTTTCGATCTCTAGTTGAGAGAAATTTTCCTTGTAAAAATCACTTAGCACTTGTGGTTGAATGTGTTAGCCTATTGCATTGAAATATTTCAAAGTGTAGAAAGGATTTTAGTAAAAGAACCAATTCACCCCACCTCTTGGTTCATCAATTGGTATCAAAGCTTTGGTTTGCCCTACAAAGGTTTTAATCAAGCTGCAGAAAACATCTTGAAGAAATGGATGAAGGTCAAGTAACAAACAAAACCCCAGGGTTTGATGGATCAAACTATGATTCTTGGAAGACTATAATGGAGGCCTTTCTCATGTCTCAGTCCTATGATGTCTGGCATGCCACTGTTATTGGTGTGGTTGTTCTCAATCCAGATAATCCTTCAGCTGATGACAAAGCAGCTTTGGCAAATGATGGAAGAGCAAAACATGCTCTCTTCTGTGCTCTCAAGCAACAAGAGTTCACAAGGATCAAAAACTGTAAAACAACTAAAGAAATGTGGGACTCCCTCAAGGCTGCTCATGAAGGTAACAATGTGATCAAGGAAAACAAGATACAACTATTGAAAGTCCAATATAAAAGCTGTAAAAAGGAAGAAAGGGAGGCTGTCTCAGACTACTTGTTCAGGATCAATGAAATTGTCAACAACATCAAGGCCTTAGGTGAAGATGTAAAGGATTCTGAAGTATGTAAGAAGATTCTTAGGTCCTAAACTCCCAGGTTCAATGCAAAGGTCACCATTCTTGAGGACAAGGACATGTCTCAGATGAAAGTTGATGATCTTCAAGCTTCCCTCACAGCCTATGAAATAAGGATTGGGGTTCCTACCCAACACAGAAGACAAGCAGCTCTCAAGGCAAAGGAAGTGGTTGAAGAAAGTGAACAAAGGTCAGAACATGGTGATCTAGAAGATGATGAAGTTACTTCTCTTGCCAAGAAGTTCAGAAAATTCAAGTTTAAGAAGAAAGGTCAATCACAGAACCAAACTTGTTATGGTTGTGGAAAGCCTGGACACTTCATTGCAAATTGTTCTTCAAACAAAGGCCAAAACCAAAGAAAACCAGAAGGGTTCAACAACAGAAATAGGTTTGGAAAGAAGGCCCTAATCACTGATTGGGATACAACTCCTGAAGAAGTCAAAGAAGAAATACCTAAAAATGAGTGCTTGTTCATGGCTATACAAGAAGTCTCAGAACCTCAGAGTGAAGGAGAAGAGAGTGACAATGATGATATTAAAGAGGTTCTGGTTGAATGTGAAAGACTTGTTGTCAAGTGTGATTCTCAGTTGCCTAGAGATACCCTGGTAAGTTTTTTAATTCACACTGGGGCTTGGAATTTTCATTGTCTGCAACATGAAAATCTGGCGCAATTTAAATTATTTCTGCAGAATGTTGTGATTAATGAGGGGGATGATAAATTGCTGTGGGATGAGGGTAGGTTTTCCTTTAAAATTGCCTGGGATGGTATAAGGTTAAGGGATGCCGAGATGCCTTGGTTTAAATTGTGTTGGGGTAAGGCAAGACCTCGCTGGTCTATTACAGCAGTTATAGTTCTTTTGGATAAACTGCCTTCGATGGTTAATTTGCAGAGGAGGAAAGTTTGTTTGGCTGCTAGAATCTAGATGTTCCCTCTGTCAACAAAGTATTGATACCACTGACCATATTTTTGTTTCATGTCCATTCTCTCACGGGATGTGGAGATGATAGGTAGTATTTTGGGATGGGATTTACAGCTCTTTCAAGAAGTTATTTCAGTATGGGATCTGTTTGTGTGGATGGATAAGCTGTATCAGAATTCAAAGAGGTTCCAAAGTTAGTTTGCTGCAGTTTTATGGTTTATTTGGAGAGAAAGAAATAATCAACTCCATGGTTCAGCTAGTCTTCTTCTGGAGGTGGTAGCTAGAGCTGCTCTAATGGAAGTGTGTGATATTCAGAGGGTAAATATCATTTATGTCATAGTTTAGAGTTTGGTTTATATGGTGCTGTTAGGCACATTCACCATGGATTTTTCTGGGCTGAAGGATGCTATTGGTATTTGGGGCAACTGAGTAGTTTCCACTGATGTTTTATTTCATATTTTTTGGTATTTTTTGTTTTTACTGGAAATGGTTCTTCATTAAGAATTTGTTTCTTTCCAGTAATTTCCTGAGGGTATGCCCTCTGTGAGCTTGTAAATATATATCTTTTTCCTTTTATACAAAAACCATTTATGAAAAAAAAAAAAAAAAAGTGTGATTCTCAGAAAGTTCAAATCAAGAAACTCAACACAGATCTTCAAATGTCAAGGGGTTTACTCACCAAGCATGTAAAGGTCAAGCTTTCAATTCTATGTTCAATCTCTTTGACTGTGCATTGTATTTGAAAACTCAGAAACTAGGATGTTGTGTGGAGTACCAGAAAATGTAAAGAAGAACTTGCTCTAGCTCTTGCTCTTGCTCTTGCTCTTGAAGA